CTGGTATGAATATGCTGCTGCTATGAACATAGTTGAGCAAGTATCTTTATGGAATGTTTGAGCATCTTTTGGGTATATGCTCAAGAGTGGTATTGCTAGATCTTGAGGTAGAATGTTCCCTAATTTTCTGAGAAACCTTTGTACTGATTTCCAAAGTGGCTGTACAAATTTGCACTCCCACCAGCAGTGGAGGAAGTGTTCCCTTCTTCCACATCCTCTCCAGCATAAACTGTCATTAGCCGTTTTGATTTTAGCCATTCTGACAGGTGTAATATGGTCTCTCAGAATTGTTTTGATTTGCATTTCCATTACAGCTAAAGATGTTGAACAATTCCTTAACTACCCCCATTTTAATGGGATTATTTGGTAGTCTGATGTCTAATTTCTTGAGTTCTTTATATATTGTGAATATCAGTCCTCTGTCAGATGTGGGGTTGCTGAAGATCTTTTCCCATTCTGCGGACTGCCATTTTACTTATTTACAGTATTCATTGCCTAGTGGAAGGTTTTCAGTTTCAGGGGGTCCCATTTATTGTTGATCTCAGTGTCTGTGCTGCTGGTGTTTTATTCAGGAAGTGGTCTCCCGTGACAACGTGTTCAGGGCTCTTTTCCACTTTCTTTTTTATCAGCTTCAGTGTAACTCGATTTATTTTGAGGTCTTTGTTCCACTTGAATGTGAGTTTTACGCATGGCAAAAAAATATGGCTCTATTTTATTTGCTTTCTTCTACATGCTATCATCTAGTTTCACCAGCCCCATTTGTTAAGAAGCTTTCTTTTTTCCATTGTATAATTTTGGGTTCTTTGTCAAAAATCAGGTGTCTATAGGTATGTGGATTTCTGTGAGGGTCTTTAATTCAATTCCGTTGATCCACATTTGAAAGGCTTTTTAACATGGCTGAAGGAAATGAGTAATGCAACAACTCAAAGGTCGTGAATCTGGGAAAGGAACGGGTACGGAGTCAAGGTGAGAGGACGGTATTAACAGGCAGAAGAGAGATAAAGAAGGGTTGAGAGAGAGTAGCCGGACTGTTACTGTGTGTGTGTATAAGATTACCAAAGGACCAACCTGATAATCATAATGGAGTGATTTTTAGGAGGACATTTTGTAATTTACCAATTGTTTTTCCCAAAGCTTTGCTGTCTCCCCGATTGTTAAGAATGCTCTTTCAGACCAATGAAAACAGCTTGCCGCTCCTTCCATGGGGTCTCATCACACAGGCTGCCAAAGCCCCTTCCCAACCCTTTAAAAGAGAGCCAAGAGCCTAGAGGAGCAGCTGTCTACCCGTTAAAGATTATGAGTACAGTGTGAGTCTCTGCTTCTTGGGGCATCACAGTTGCCTCACAAACAACAGATGGGGCCCTGAGCGACCAGGAGATCCATGGAACTCCTGTATCCTTGATGTCGGACAGCAGCCCACAGAAAGAAAGCACTTTATCCCCACCACCGCCAACAACCATCGTTCATGTGCAGGAACCCACGAGCTGAGCCTCAAGCATCAGTTCTGCCACATCCTGTCTGTCTGAGACAGACAGCGCTTGAAGCTGGAATGTGGGATGCGGACAAGCGCACTTGGCTTTGCTCTGCTCTCCAAACACGTGTGAGGCAGACGGGACTCTGTGACATTCTCCAGTGGTTTCAGGAAAAGGAAGGATCACGTGCAAGTCAAGAACAGAGAAGTGTTTGTAATCAAGAGGAACAACCAGTTCATACATGGGAGTGGGAGTTCTGATCAGCTAGCAAAGATGTTAAACTCATTATTTAGGAATAGAAGTTGAGCGAGATTCCTTTAAATCAGTATTTCCGTACACATGTGTTCTTAATACATATTATGTCCCGAAGTGATTTGCGAAGGCTGAGAATACTGAAGAAAGGCAGGCTGAAGTTAATGTCCTAGGAAGTCACTCTCCTTCCACGCAGGACCGCTCCTCCAAAAGGAGCCCAACCACGTGGGTGAAGCAGTGTGGATTGCCTTTCATATTCTTCAGCACTTAGCCCAAAGCTCTCTGGGACTGGCAGGCTTAACTAAGAGCTTTCACCTGACACCCAAGACTCGGTGACTCAGGAACGGAAAAGCAGAGCAGGCTGCGGCAGTGGCATCGATAGAAGTGTGTAGTCCAGAGCAAGGGGATGTGAGGGTAGGAGGCCGCACAGGCAGCCCTGGCTGAGTTAGCGCCCACCTGGCCTGCTGGCAAGAGCCTGGCACAGAGTAACACTTCCCCTTTCAACACTGAGGAAACTAGTGTCTTGTGCCCAGGAAGGAAAGAACGTCAACCAATACTCAAGGAGTCGCTGAGAGTCTGTTAATCTTATAGGACCTCAGACTGGCCATGATTGAGAATTACTGTCACTAAGTGAAAGACAACCCTAGGCCACCTGTCACTCATGATAAATTCATTGCTTCCTATTTTATCTCTTAGCCCCTCATTGTCTTTTATTTGCACTTGCTTGGTGAAAGAGTATTACAAGGACAATGGCTTTCCTCCTAGAGCCTCATCTCTAGCAAGGGTCTGTCGCGTGGGATTGCAAGAGGCCTTAGAGAATTCCAAAGCAAAGCATAAACATTTTTTTCATCATGGACATGTGTGTGTGTGTGTGTGTCTTTGTGTGTTTTCTTGTTGCCTTAAAATTTACTTCATGAGATATCTTTTTGTTGTTGTACAACTCAGGCTGGCATCAACCTCACAGAGATCCATCCACCTCTTCAGCCTCCCAAGTGCTGGGATTAAAGACTTGCGCCACTACTGCCCTGCTTAATTTTTTGTTGTTGTTCTTTTGTTTTGTTTTAATATGACTCCAAGAATTTTCTTGAGATAAGGTCTCAAGTAGCCCAGGCTGGACTCATACTCACTATGTAGCCAAGTAAGACTCCAGTGTTTTCTGCCTCTCCCTTCAAAGAGCTGAAATCGGAGGCATAAACCACTACTCCCAGCTTTATGCATGTTCTTTTCTAAAAATACCTCAGATGACTTGGAGCTTGTCTGAGAACATTTGTTTTAATGTGACTGTGATTTTATCTCATCTTGGGTTTGTAGTAGCTTTGCCTTAGAGCATCTGAGTCCAGATGCCTTTCTCATTGCCAAGAACTTCATCCTTTCGGTGTGAACTTGGTGGAGCCATGCATTCTAGAAACGATCGGACTTGTTTGGGGCTTAGTGCTAGGAAAGAAAATATGTTCATCCATCCGTTCACAGATCCTTTTGAACATCTACCATGCCTAAAGCACTGCTCTAGGAACTGGGAATGTGGTCCTGACCTAAACAAGGAAACTGTGCATTAGAGAAGAAGGAAACAAAGATTAAAGAGAAAAAAAATTAGGTGACCCATTAAAAGGCAATTGAATGTTACAAAAACATAATAAATGAAGGTATAAGGGGTGAGGAGTGCTGCCGGAGCAGGTGAGAGGGGGTGATGGCAACTTGAAATAATGAAATCAGAATAGGCCGAATAGAAAAGGGAGCATCCAAGCAGACACTTAAACCGGGAAAGAGTGAGACCCGAGAAAAACTCCGGAAGAGCCAGGGTTAGCACATGCAAGCCTGAGGTGACATCCAGGAACAGTAGAGTCCACTTAATGAGGGATAAGAAGGACAATAGCGAAAGGTAGGTAATGAGTGGGGGCGCAGGTTGTTCAGGGCCCTGAAGCAATCCTGAGGCTGCCAGCCTAGACTCTGAGCTGAACTAATGGAAACTTTAAACAAAGCCATGGTGCAATTTAGCTTTTAGGGTTTGGAAAGATACCCAGTAGGCAAAAGCACTTGTGAAATCATGAGGACCTGAGCTTGGGTCTCCAGAACCCATGGATGCAGCAGAATCAGTGTCTGCAATCCCAATGCTCCTGTGGGGAAGAGGCAGAGACAGGAGGATCCCCAGAAGCTCACTGGACTGATAACCCAGCACATAGTACAGAAAAACGGCAAATCCACCCTACCTCAAACAAGATGGAAGGCAGGGACCAACATCCAGTGATGTTCTCTGACCTTCACATAAGCATGGTGGCAGACACAGGTTCCCATTGATACCCACACCTGGGTGTGAACACACACACACACACACACACACACACACACACACACACACATTAAGCATTTAGAAAGACTGCTTTAGATACTGCTGAAGTTAGACAGACTACAGGGGATAAGGTGAGGACAAACACATGAGTCAGGAATCTGTCGCATTGGTTCAAGGTAACAAGATTGAAGCAGGACACTAGCAGTGGAGAGAGTGGAACAGGGCTCTGCGTTTCCTTTGAAGGTAAGGCTGCCGGGACTTCCTGTCAGCCTGGAGAGAAAGGAGAGGGAGAAGGCTGTCTGACTTACAGGTTCAAGGCCTCGGCAACTTCAGGAGCCAGCATAGATGGGGGGCAGTCATGCTTTGGTTCTGCTGGGCTGCAGGACAGCTTATAAACAACGTATCTTTGTTCATTACAGTCATGGATGCTGGGAAATCTGAGGTCACAGCAGATTTGGTGTCAGGGGTGAGGGTGGGGACTGCTTCTTCAGCTGTGTCCATCTGCTCACACTCCTCCCTCATGGCATAAAAGATGAGTTCGTTCCAGAAGTCCTTGACAAAGATGCTGTTCTCATTTTGGGGTCACTGCCCTTGTAACGTAATCATCTCTCTAATATGGATACCCTAGGTGTTAGGATTTCACTGTATGAAGCTAAGGGGAGCCCAAAAGCAAGGCAGTAGTGAGATAATTCTGATGTGATAATTATACCAGTGACATAATACTGGGGCAGTAATTTCCTGGTTTCTACTAAACTGGATTATAAACCATTAAATGAGAAAATTATTTTGTGGTCTAATCCTTACAACCTATCTATTTTCCTTGGATCAAAAATACTCTCCAGAATTATAAAACCTTTTTCTCGGTACTACAGATGAAGTGTCTATGTTACCAGGGAAAAAGAAAAAAAGAAAGGAAGGAAGGAAGAAGAAAGAAAAAAGATATGATTGGGTCTTTTTTCTAACCATACTTGCTTTGCATTCCTCTCAAGGCTACTACATGTTTATCGAGGCCTCCCACATGGTGTATGGACAAAAAGCACACCTCTTGTCCCAGCCCTTGAGAGGTGTCCCTGGGAAGCACTGCTTGACTTTTTTCTACCACATGTATGGAGCAGGAACTGGCCTGCTGAGCGTTTTCCTGAAAACAGAGGAAGAGAATGAAGAGCCCCTGCTGTGGAGGAGGCGAGGGGAACAAAGCATCTCCTGGCTGCGTGCGCTGGTAGAATACAGCTGCAGGAGGCAACACCAGGTAAGCCTGGAGGGAAGCCGGTCCACCCGGGAAACACGGCCCAAAGCACCTGTGCTCTCCGGTTTCTTGCTACAAAAGAGAATATTTTGCCCTTTCTCAGAGTCAGAGATAAAGGCAGGATTAGTTGAAGAGTAAACATAATTAGCCTGTTATTGATTAACTCTAAGCAGCGAATGGAAAATTAGACAGGGAGCTAAAGCTTTGGACATTCATGCATAGAGTGCTTGTTTTTTACAATTCAAGGATGAAAGGTTCCTATTCTGTCTTAGTGTATTGTGAATACCAAATGTGTTTCTTCCAAAAGCAAGTCTCCTTTCTTCCAAATGCACTAGTACTGCCCCTATTACCCATGATCCACTTGCACTTACCCATTACCCATGATCCACTTGCACTTAAGGACTTCTGTTCTAAGCTTCTATCTAAGAGTGCGTATGGCCCATGGTCAGTTTCTTACGCCTCTGTATGCATTACTATATTGCTGTAGAAAAAACTGGGATCTTAGTTCCAAGATCATAGTCATCTCCACCTCAGACTCCCAATTCTACATGTGTTATAGCAAGCCCCTGTCCTACATGTATCCAATCATTCCAGTAGGTGGGCCTAAGCAGCTACTGTAGCCTAGAAAGCCTAGACTTCACATAGCCACCAAAGCTAAAATTCTGGGGAGACAGCCTTCAGACTCTCCATTGTTCTTGAATTCATTCTGGAGAATTCTGGCATGAGCGTGCTCTCCAACTAATGCTCCAGCTTCCTTTGTGGCTTTGCTTCTGGGTGGTCAACCTTGTGGATCCACTCGGCTTTAACCACTGGCTAGCTGCCTGGCCTGCGCTCAAGTCTTTCTGCGAAGAGATAGCCAACATATGAGCTTTTTTTCTCACCACTCAACAACACAAACTGATTTTCTAAAGATCTAAACTGAAGAAATGGCGGCTCTAGTGGATAGCCATTTGAGCTGCTACGTTGATAAGCAACAAACGACAGGAGGAAGATGTCCTACTTCTAGGAAGGATCCTTCAGCTAAGCATAAATATTTGGAGACATATTAGAGAATGGCAGATTATCCCATGAACCATTTTTTATGATGTTATAGAAGGTAGCTGGGCCAGACGAAAACGTACTAATGTAGTTGATCATCATTCAGAGATGGCAGCTCAATCGTGTTAGGCCTCAAGACCCTTTATCAAAAAGTTCTTAAGGTGTGGTCCATAAACCAACAGCAACAGAAATACCTGAAATCTAGGGTCACCCAAAATGTTAACTTTCAGGCTCCACCACAGAACTCTAAATCAGAAACTCCAGAGGGCTTTGGAGCCCCAGAAATTTACTTCAATAAGCCCTCCAAGTGATGCAAGCTAAAAATAGAAAATCTCCAGATTTAAATGAATATGACATTTTGGTCATGGTATCCAAGCATTCACACACACACACACACACACACACACACACTCACAAAATCCTCCATTTTGCAGTGCAGAAGATCAAATTCATTACCTCACATATACCAGATAAGTGTTCCATCACTGAGCTATACTCCCAAGCTAGCATTGATTTTTTTTAACTTTTTTTTTCTTCCGAGACAGGGTTTCTCTGTAGCTTTGGAGCCTATCTTGGGACTAGCTCTTGTAAACCAGGCTGGCCTCGAACTCACAGAGATCCGCCTACCTCTGCCTCCCAAGTGCTGGGATTAAAGTGTACGTCACCACTGCCTGACTTCTTTTAACTTTTAAATGATGCTGATACACAAATGCTGTAAAAATTTGAGTTCTGGGAATTAGCACACAGGGCCTTTCATAAGATAGACTATGCTTCCAGGGTAGACCGTCTTGGACATTGGTTTTGTTTTTGTTTTGAGAAGTCTGGTCGTGTAGCTCAGACTGGCGTCCAACTCAGGATTCTCCTTACTTAAATTCCCATTGCTAAGATTCTGGGCATGCACCACTACGCCCAGCTTGAAGTACATTTTAAATGTACATTGGCAAAGCCCCTGGGGTGTCAGTTTAGAATGTTGCAGTTCAAAGGGTGCAGAACGATTATTAGCATCCATCTTTGACCTACAGGCCTATCATAATCAAGAGACTTTTCTGTGAAATAGGATATTCTGGAGGACTGCCCCTTCTTATACCTGCAGAATGGCCAAGATCAAAAACACTGATGACAGCTTATACTACAGAGAATGTGGGGTAAAGGGAACTCTCCTCCATTGCTGGTGGGAGTACAAATCTGTACAGCTGCTTTAGAAATCAGTATAGTGGTTTCTCAGAAAATTAGGAAACAATCAACCTCAAGATCCAGCAATACCACTATTGAGTATATACACAAAGGATACACAATCATACCACAAGGACATGTGTTCAATTATGTTCATAGCAGCATTATTTGTTATAGCCAGAACCTGTAAACAACTTAGGTGCCCCTGAACTGAAAAGTGGATAAAGAAAATGTGGTACATTTGCACAATGGAGTACTACTCAGCAATAAAAATAATGACGTCTCGAAATTTGCAGGCAAATGGATGGATCTAGAAAATATCAAATTGAGTGAGGTAACCCAGACCCAGAAAGACAAATATACTATGTACTCACTTACAAATGGCTTTTAGTCATAAAGCAAAGAAAAACCAGCCTATGATTCACAGAGAACCTAGACAACAAAGAGGGCCCTATATAGGATCTAAATAGAGAGGAGAAAAAGACAAGATCTCCTGGGTAAATTGAGAGCATGGAGGTCACAGGAAAGGATGGAGGGGAATAGGGGAGGAAGGGAGGGAGCAGACAAAAATGTATAGCTCAATAAAAACAATAAAAAATTTCATCTAAATCATAAACTAATGTAAATGACATGGGTAGAACACATATATCTTCAGGACAGTTGTCACTTCCCACAGACCTTTCTGGAAGATTCAGACACTTATTATCCATTATTGCAACATCCTTGGAGCTGGTGATCTATTTTTCTAGAACAAGAATATATGATTAGTTGTTTTCTTCAAGCACTCGAAACTCATGAAACAGACTGCCCTCCCGCAAGGCACACTGGGCTGTGCCTTTGATGTTATGGTATTTAACATAAGTGACTCACTATTTTTGATCAATTTAATTACTTTATACAGTATTATTTAGCTTTTCCACCTAATACCAGTACAAAGGTAGATTCCATGGGAGATGAAGATGAGAGGAGCCAGACAGAGTGTTCTAATCGGGGTGGGTTATCAGGTTCCTGATTTAGCATCTCTGGAGAACCGCCTAAAGACACAAAGAGTTATGAGGCATCATACTTTACGATGAAATAGTTTAACTCCAAATAATCTAATTGGAATTTGTGATTTTATTTTGTTGTTGTTTATTTTATTTTAGAGACCTGGTCTCACTATGCTTCCCTGACTGGCCTCAAGCTTGCGGTATAGCCCAGGCTCTTCAAGAACTCACTAAATAGTCTAGGCTGGCTTGAATCTGTAACGGTTCTTTCACTTTAACCTCTTGATTTATGGGATTATAAAGCCAGCCTAGAATTTGTAATTTTGTGTCTTTTTCCTTAAAGCCAACCCCACCAGTTATCTAAGTTTTTAGAGTCACAAAGTCTTGATCGTCCCTGACCAACACAGTTTTATCAGCTTGACTCTGTTTCTAATAAAAAAAAGTCATTCTTTTTTCAGATCATTTTTGAAGCCATTCGGGGAGTGTCAATAAGAAGTGATATTGCCATTGATGATGTTAAATTTCATGCAGGACCGTGTACAGGTAATATTTTCCTCAATTACATATGTTTGATCGGAAGATGGATTTTATAGTTTCAAACTATAAGAATTCAAAATCATCTTTTCTATAGAGAAAATAAATATTGTCTGTCTTTCCTGACAGAAATGGAAGATACAACTCAACAATCATCAGGATATTCTGAAGACATAAATGAAATTGAGTATTAGGAAATGATCTAAATCGGATTAAATAGACAAAATTTGTGCCTCTCTTCAATCAAAGTGAAAACAGAAGAAATGAATACTGGATATTCTTAACTATTGCATAAGTTGAAATGACTTCAGAACACCCCCTTTCATTACTTTTGAAGAGAGAGAGAGAGAGAGAGAGAGAGAGAGAGAGAGAGAGAGAGAGAAAGAGAGAGAGAGAGAGAGGAGACTCAGGGCTTTCCTTTTTTTATTCCCCTGTGCATTTGACAACTGTTACTGGAAGTACAGGCTACTGCTTTAACATAGGCCATTTCATCTTAATTTGGGTGCCAATTAAAAATACAAATGTACTATGTTATAGTCATTTCAAAGTGCACATATAAAGGGCACAATCAAAATGAATGTGCTTATTTAAGTCTGCATTCAATGAATGTATTGGGAGACTAGGAATTGGTGGTTTTCCTTTTGAGTTTCAAGTACAAAAATTTTTCTTAAATAATGCAACGTGTCAGTAATATCTGCAAAATGAATGCAGTTTACTTATGGTAACAGATTATTCCAGAAATAAGGCCTCATTTGTGTATTTTATTAACAGAAAAAGCTATAATTCATTACTATTTCGCTATCGGTATAAGAAAGGAGCTCTCACAGAGCCCAGGTTAAGTCCATACGAATTAATGCTGCAGTATAAGGCACTGCCGCCCTCTTTGCTTTCCCTTTGAACTACCTTGGACAGTTACTATGAGTGCACGGGCATTAATGCACCTCTTCAATAAGGCAAGCATGAATTTTTCATGTATACACACCCAACAATTTTAATAAACTTGTTCAACAATTTGACTGATTTTTATGATAAATGTTTTGGTGAAGTTTTGAGTAATATGTAGTCAGTTACATTTACTAAACTATTGTTTTCTATTTACTTAGAGAATTGTATATACGTGTGCAATTTGTGGCCAAGTAGCTGTTGTAAAACTTCAAAATTACCTAATAAAAGATCATTTGAAACTCCTTTCATTAGCAATTAACTCATTTCTACATTATTTGGTTTTATCAGAACACATTCATTATATCATTGCCAATTCTAATTTGCATATCTATTCTGCCATGATTAGATGTCTTAAGTTACCTTATTAACAGCACCAATGCTGCAATTATTTATATAATAAATATTTAAAGAGCATTTTATTTCCTATAAGAAAAGTTTCCTAAATTTTATCACTAGAATTAAACTATAATGACATAAATTCTTTTCTTTTAGCTTTTAACATTAAATTTACTTGTTGGAGAAGTCCACATGAATGCCATAATGCAAGTGTTAAGATTCTGACCTTCACTTAAGAGAGCCGCTTCTCTCCTCCTACTGCATGAGCCCTGGGGACTGAACTCAAGCACGTCTACACACTGACCATATAGCCAACCCAGGACACAGACTCTGTTGTTTACTTTTATGTTCTTAGTGCCCAGGAACAAAATTGAACACGCAAATGAGTTTAATCTCTCCTTTATCCCCTGAAATGGAAATAAAATTAGCATTTTCATAATTCAATGATGCAGCACTTGCTAAACTTGAACAAGGCCTAGGGTTTGATCCTAAATACCATGAAGACAAAACAAAATGAAATGATTGCCGGGCAATGGTAGCAAATACCTTTAATCCCAGCACTCGGGATGCAGAGGCAGATAGATCTCTGTATGTTCAAGGCCAGCCTGGTCTACAAGAGCTAGTTCCAGGACAGCCAGGGCTGTGACACAGAGAAGCCCTATCTCGAGAAACAAAAAGCCAAAAATGAAATGACTGAGCATCAGAAGGTGGAAAGCAATGAAGTGGTGGCCTGTTGATTTCTCAGCTTTGCATGGCTATAAATCTATTGGCCTCATCTGTGAAGAACACTATGCCTCTCTGCACATCACAGTACTTAGAAAACAAAACTAATCAGCTGCACAAAATCAACATCTTAAGGTTTATAAGGAAAATTATATTCACCTCGTAATAAAATATTTTTATTAATAAAATTTGTACTATTATGATTAATTAGCCACAGGGGTACAATTGGAGTTTGACATACACTAGGCAACATAAATCCTCACAACATCGTTCCCACCGATAGCTATAGCTACATTTGCTGAATAAAGGAACATAGACTGTGTCTCCGGGACTCACACATACCTGAGTACATAGTGAGGCATTTGTTCTATGTGATGAATGAATGAAGTAGTTTACCGGCATCCTTGATGGTGACATAAACGCTCATGGAATCATTCCAGCGAACATTGTTGAACACCTACTGTTTTCAGATTTAGGGCAAATATGTTTTCACACAAATTAACTTTTTCCCGACAACCCATGAAGTAGATCCAAGCAGCAGTTCCATTAAATAAATAAGACAATTAAATCTATTCAAGATCAGTAGTTAGTATGAGGCCTGCGTTTGAAACCAAGCCTGTTGCCTTGCCCGCCCTGTGTTCTAATCTTTCTAAAATGGCCTTGCCAACCTGCCAGCTCGCCCGTAATCTCCAACAGCAATACGGATTACAGACTAGTCGCAGGTTCCTAGTTCCCCTCTTCTAGGGTTTATTGGCTATACAAATAGTTCCAATATGGAATTAAGGGGATGACTTGGTCAGTAAAATGTCTGCCATACCACCATGAGAGCCTCAGTTAGGGTCCCCAGGCACCCTGTCAAAAGTGTGACTTGACGCAAGTAGATGAGCTCCAGAAAGACCCTGTCTGGAAAAAAAAAAATGAGTTTAGCAGGTTGGAAAGATGCCTCAGCAGCTCAGAGAATTATTTGGGGGCAGCAAGGAAAGAGGTAATTATTACCGGCAGTTGCTAAGAAACAACCTGCCATTTTTAGAGGCAGGGAGGTGGAAAGCGAGCTGAGTGACTCACCTTCCCTCGTTTATGTTTCTTTACAGGATCCCACTGTTTGAAGCCTCGGTTCTCTTTCTAAGTGGCCCTTAGCATTCCTTTTGCCTATATTTCGTATAGATGAAAATGTAGGCAGATGGTAAGCACAGCATCATTTTCCCAGGTTCAGACATGCCCCAAGGAAGGTGCACTAGTTACTAGGTGCTACTTAACGATTTAACCCCAGTCATTGCATTTTTCCTACTCTCGGCAGCACCTAAATCCCCAGGCTCTTTAAATAGAAACAGCTTTCTACGCGGATTGCCTTTGCTCTTACAATCCACCATCTGCAGTGAAGGTTATTTATGTATAGAAAGGAGGAATGGCGTAGATGCCAAGAAAACAGTACCTCTGATGCAGTGTCTGGCTTAAGATGGAAGAACAGAGTTCAGGGATGATTTCTTAAAGTATCTATATTTTGGGCATCTTACCAAGCATAGAGGTTTGCAAAGATGCTTGCAGATTAGGGAAGAGGTGAGATACAAGACATCCAGCAAGCACAATTTCAAGAAATAAGATGTGATCATATGCTCAGAGTTTACGGGAAAGTCTAGGAGGGGTATCAGACAGCAGAGATCCATAGTGTAGCATTCCAGAGACCTGGGTGCTTTGTTGTCTTACCCTTGGAGGGATAAAAATGGGCTCCGTAACTTCTCATCTGCATACATCCAGATGGGGACAATAAGTTTTCATAACTCGTAAGTGTTCTGATATTACAGAATTTCTGGTATGTGGATCACCATAAAGATGCAGCACAGCTCAGAAATTGGATTCCCTGCTCCTGGATTCTGGCTGCCTCCATTCAAATCCTGGTTCTGCCGCTTACAAACTATAATCGACAGCAAGTCTTTTACCCTCTTTGGTTTCTTTTCCTGCTTTGCAAAGTGGGGTAAAGTAGTTGCTATGAAGAATCACTGAAAACAATAGATGGCAAGATGCGGTAACACATGACTGCAATCCCAGCACTTGGGGGCTGGAAAAAGGAGAATTGGAAATTCGAAGATGTCGTTGGTTCTGTAAGGAATTCAAGGTCAGCCTGGGCCATATAAAACTTGGACTCAAAGCCAAGAAAAGCCAACAAAATGCCCCAAAACTACAGCAATATAAAACCTACAAGAACTTAGACACATTTAATTTCTGACACAAAAGTCTTCCCGGTTTATATGATTCGGAATTAGTGAAATTTCAGTTAAATCTCAGTTATTTTTGTGTCGCTTTCTGTATAAAGAAACTGTGAGCTTATAGTGCCATCTTAAGGATAAAGCAACCATATAATCTCCTCATGCTGCCATCGTTTTTAGCACTGGGTGCTCAAGACTCATTTTAAGTCGTAGTTACAACGTCTTCACTTTGCTCCCACCACAGCTGCTGACCGTGCCTCTTCTGAACTTCACATGAATTTCTCGAAAACCTTATGTTAAATTGTACTTCTTGTTTATAGAACTATCTTTTCAAAAACTGTCACTTAACTTAACTTTCATGAGATATTTCTGGATTGACTGAATGTCAAGAAAAGCACTTACTTACCACTAGTATGTGCATGGGTTCCGAATACGAGAAAGTCTTCTTGGAGGTCTATAATAATTTTATTGGTCCTTTCTATGTATTTATCTGGATATCACTGTCCCTAATTTGGCCATTTTCTAACACTTCATTTTTGTTTTGTTTTTCGAGAAAAACAAAAGTTTTTCAAAGTCTGTGTAACTTTGGTGCCTGTCCTGGAACTAGCTCTTGTAGAACAGGCTGGCCTTGAACTCACAGAGATCTGCCTGCCTCTGCCTCCCTCCCAAGTGCTGGGATTAAAGGCGTGTGCCACCACCGCCGGGCTCACTTCATAAATTTTTAGACTGCACCATGAATGATTGCATATTGTAAAATATGTAATGGATTAAACCCAACCAAACATCTCTTTAAAGCAGTTTCTAAATAAAGAGAGCCATTGAGATGACTCATCAAATAAAAGTGCTCACCATTAATCCTGATAGACTGAGCTGAATTCCTGAACACCATATGGTGAAAGGAAAGAATAACTCCTCTAACCTCCACATGTGTGCATCAATGTGTGCTTGCACAGAAGCACATGCATGATAGATAGATAGATAGATAGATAGATAGATAGATAGATAGATAGATAGACAGACAGATAGACAGATAGAGTTAATGAGGTAGCATTGAAAAGAATACCAAATATATTTTACAATACATATATATACATACATACATACATATAAATACATTGCTGTTCAAACATCAAATTAAAATATGGTAAGAAATAAATGCTGGGGGAAGGCTGAGATGGTTCAGGAGTTAAGACCATAGAGGCACGCACACATTCACGCTGACTGCTGCAATCTACCCAGGAGCCAAGATGAGCGATCAGCATTTGCTATCATTTATTTTCTTCCTGACAGACATTCTGACTGGAATGAGATATAATCTCCAAGCAGTTTCAACTTGTATTTTCCTAATGGCAAAGGGTATTGAGCACTTTCTTAAAATATGTATTGACCATTTGCATTTTTTAGAAATCATTTTCTAAGAATTATTTTTCCAATTTATGCCAATATTTTTGTCCAGGTGATTTGGGGTTTTAGTTTGAAGTGTTCTTGTTTTGGTTCGGGTGTTCAGGTTTTCTAGTTCTTTGTAGATCCTAGATATTAATTCCTAGCCAGCAGTCTAGTTGGGAAAGCTTGCCTGCCGTTCCACAGGTTAGCTCTTGTTTCTTCTTCTGTGACGAAACTTAATGCTGTTTTAGTTGTCATGTTCAAGCATTCAGGATCCCCGATTTCTTTCTAATGTGTGTGCTATTCTAAGCCATCACTTGTATGGTTTTTATATCCTCCTGCATTGTTGAAAACATTTAGCAGTCCTAAGGACTTTCTGAAGAATTTCTCCTGGTAAGTGTACATCACTTCATCTGTAAATACAGATTATTTGAATTCTTCCTTTCCTAGTTATATCTCAGCCATGAGCCACCTTTTCTGGGATGACTTCTGCCACGATCCTAGCTGCAGTGGATTCGTACATTCCAGAGTAGAGGCGTTGGGATTAGAAATGTTAGGTAGGAAGAACAGAGATAAAAAAGAAACACACACGGGATA